CGCGGAGCGGCTGGGACCGTGAGCCATGGCCGCTGAGCCTGCGCGTCCGGAGCCTGTGCTCCGCAACGGAAGAGGCCACAACAGTGAGAGGCCCGCGTACCGGAAAAAAAAAACAAACCATGAGAAATCACAACAAAATAAAAATTTAAAAAATAAAGTTTATACATTTAAAGTGACATAATCTAACAACAGATACAGCAAACATTATATTTAATGATAAAACATTAGAAGCATTCCTTTAAAAAACAGTGGGCATCATTAGGTTGTCCCTATCATATCTTCTAATCAACGTTATATTATGGTTTTAATTAGAGCAATAAGAAAAAGAGATAAAAGGTAAGAACTGAAAAGGAAGAAACTGCCACAATTTACAGACTATATGATTACTTATGTAGAAAATACAAGATAACCAACAGATAAGCTAAAAAAAATTCAAGAAGAATGCTGGATAAACGTTAGATAAAAATAAATGTGCCTGTAGGTTGGCTACCTATAATTAGATAATACAGTTAAAAAGTACTATTTACAATAGCAACTAATCTGTAAGATACTAAGGAATAAATCAACAAATGATGTAGGCCTTTAGGAGGAAAAATATAATTGTATTTAAATATATAAAAGATCAAAATAAACGGAGAAATATATCATGTTCAAGGATGAGAAGTTGGCAACTGTGCCCGAGTTGATCGATAAATGTGTGATCTATAATTTTAATGCAATTTCATTAAAAGCTGTTCTCAGGCGATTTTAAAATCATATGGAAGAACAGGAGGTCAAAAAGAGCCAAGACAATTCTGAAGAACAAGGTGAGGTAAAAGACTTTAACAGACACCTCAGCAAAGAAGATAAAGATGGCAAATAAGCATGTGAAAAGATGTTCCACATTATATGTCGTCAGGGAAATGCAAATTAAAAAAACAATGAGATACCACTACACACATATTAGTCTGGCTAAGATCCAGAGTTCTGACAATACCAAATGCTGGTGAGACTGTGGAGCAACAGGAACTCTAATTTACTGCTGGTGGGAATGCAAAATGGCACAACCACTTTGGAAGATAGTTTGATGGTTTCCTACAAAACTAAGCATACTCTTACCGTATGATTCAGCAATCATACTCCTTGGTATTTACCCAAAGGAGTTGAAAACTTATGTCCACACAAAAACCTGCACACGGATATTTACTGCAGCTTTGTTCATAACTGCAAAAACTTGTAAGCAACCAAGATGTCCTTTACTAGGTGAATGGGTAAATAGACCGTGGCACATCCAGATGATGGAATATTACTCAGCAATTTAAAAAAAAAAGAGCTATCAAGCCATGAAAAGATACGAAGTAACCTTAAATGCATAGTAAAAATACTGTGTGATACCATAATGATGGATAAATGTCCCTACACATTTGTCCAAATCTACAGAATGTACAACACCAGAGTGAACCTTAATGTAAACTACCGACTTTGGGTGATAATGATGTGTCGATGTAGGTTCACCCTACCCTAGAGAAATTCTTACACAACTGCACTAAAGAGACATGTTTAAGCACTGTTTGTAACAGGAGAAAAAGTAACAAAACAACACTGTCCCTCAGCAGGGAGCAAACTGTGGTTTAATTATATAATGGAACTCATAAACAGTTAAAATGAATGAGTAAGATCTTCATGTATTCAAAGAATACGTCTCAAAAAACATGTTGAGTCAAAAAAAAAAAAGGCAGGTTGCACAAGAATAGGTACCGTATATTTTTTAAAAAAAGAATTGACATTAGTTTTCAAATACTTTACTGAAAAAACTCTTTCAGTCTGACTTCCCAAACAGGTACAGTTTTCCTTCATCCATCTGCACCCATCCTTTAAAGATCAAGTTAAATACCCCAATCTGAAGCGATTATTCCTTCTCTGCCCTCCCTAAGCACTTCGTTTGTATCACCTATGTGACAGGTATTATAGGTGCAAAAGACCATACAGCTGCTTAGAATGTGCCTCTTTTTGCATGTCTCACATCTAGTAGACTATGAGTTCCTTACACCACTGTCTTACACCATTTTGTATTCAATTTAACAAATACAGGCACTGCGTTGGTTCAAGGGATAAAAAGTTTAATAAGACAGAGTTCCTGCCTCAAGGAGGTTATGAGCTTATGATGCAGTAGAGGGAAATGGACATGTAATTAACAACGATAAAAGTTATAGAAGCATCAAAAACAGACTATGGATAACAAAAGAGGGATTGTATCCCACACAACCCCTTGCAAGCAGCACGCATTCACTATATTTATTAGTCTAACTTATTGGTGGAGGCCAAGGCAACAGGGTGCTTGCTGTAGGAGAGAGCACACAGGCTCTAGTAACAGGATGAGACGGAAGTAGCTTTTGTTTCCCCTAAGCAACGCGACTGGATGCGAGTTTGATAGGGAAAGTCGAAGAAATAGGGGGCAAGATCGTAAGGGTCGCTGGGGTTGAGGTGGTGGGCCCGGGGTAGGTTTGGAATATGCTGGGGAAAGAGGTAAGATCCGACTGGAAAGCCGCTCAGCACAGTACCTTTCTCATTGCGAACCGGGACGGCCCCAGCCGTAGACTGAATGGGCGGCTGTTTCATGAGTGAGCTTGGGACCGACATGTTGACGGCAGCGGCAGTGACTCCCCAAACTTGACTGATTCCAAACTGAACAGAACAGAACAACGTCAACGAACTGAAAAAACCTCTTCCACTTAGGCCACTGTACACCGCTGCGCCACTGATAGAGACACCACTTCCGACTGAGCTAGAAAAACCGGAAATATGCGACCAGAGGATTGTGGGATTGTGGAGGACGTCTGGGCGCCTACGGCTAGAACGTCGAGTCTGTTACTGCGCATGTTTATAGGCCGCCCTGGCCTCCTCAGTTTCGCAGTATTTGGACGCACTTTCTGGCGGGAATTTGCTTCCGCTGGGCTTTGCTGTTGAGACCCTGCGGCGAGGAAAGGCTGAATGAAAGGTTTCGCTCGTTAGGGTTGGTTTGAAGCCAAGGAAAATCGGGTAGTGAGGGATAAGAAACTGAGGAGATAGTGAAGGGCGGTTTGTCCAGATTGTTGAAAGCTCAGAGTTAGCGTTTAATCGGAATAGAAATCCTGTTAATAGCACCTGATTAGCTCAGTTGATGAGGCTGAGCGGGTTGTGGTGAGGTATTTTTTGGTCACGTGAGGGCAAGTGGCAAGAAAAAAAAAATCCCCCAGGCGGCTTAGAACAGTGCCTGAAATCCGAACACTCTTAGGCTTTACAGTTCTTTCCGTTTCTGGAGACTGCCTATTAAAACATATTCCTGGCTGAAATGTTTGTATATAAAAGTCCATAAGTAATTATTAAGCACCGCGCTTAGCTTTCTCTAAGGAGTATGGAATATTGTTGAAAGGCTTGTTTCCTCCAGGAACTTGAATTTCATTTAGTAAGTCTTCAAGGGCTTATAGAAGAGTAACTGAAATAATCCCAATTTACTAGTTGGGTTGTGTTAAAAAACATAGACTAATTGCTAGTCAGAACACAGTCACTGTAGAAAGGGTTTTATAACTGCTGTGGTGGGGAGAGAAGGGACAGCCTGAGCAAAGTCTTGAAGTCCAGAAATAACATGGTATATATCAGACACTATGAAAAGTTTGATTTTATCAGTAATTTTTGAGTCAAGGAGTGTGCAAGTTCCTGAAGGGCTTTAAAGGTGCTGTTAATAGGATTAGTTCTCAAATTATTTCACCTGTATCCTAAAATTGGGCCTCAGCTGGGAGAAGAAATAAAATTGGGCAAGTCTCGATCAAGGAACAGTGGATAACTCAAGTAACCAACCAAGGGAGCAGTTTTGAGCTATAAAGAAAAGGACTGTAAAAGAGTAGATAGAAATTTGTTATAAATTCATCAGCTCCAAAACTATGCTATCCAGAGGGAGTAAATCTGTTGGGAAGGCAATTGTTTCTGCTCGCGGCAACCCAGAAAATAGGAAAAAAAAAAAAGTTTAATATGACAGTGACTATAAGAAATACAGTGCCCTGAAATCTTATTTATGATGCTTTGTGACACAAAAGTTATTTAAAACATTTCCCCAGTCTTTGGGCTTTGTAAGGTCGTCACTAAATGTTAGTTAACTGGTGGGCGAAGTTTAAACCAACTTAGTTAACTGGTGGGTGAAGTTTAAACCAGCTTAAGTTATCAGCTCTTGAAAAAAAAAAAAATCAAAATGCTTCTATTCCCAGGAAGAAAATACGGTGGCCATTGGGCATAATTTTCTGGTGATGGGATTACAAGGAACTAGGGGCTGAGGTAAAGTCTGCATATATATTGATTTCATTGCCTCTCTATTTCATATGGTATTTAAGCGCTCCTGAATCTTTTCCAGGCTCACGTTGCTAGGCAAGGTGGTTTTTCCTTAGGAGAGGCGCAGGTGTTTTTCAAAGTGAGATACTGGCATCAGCAGTATCAAAATCACCGGGATCCAAGGTAAAAATGTCGATTCGGTCCCTTCTATGAGGAATTTGAGTTTGTGGTGAGGCTGGCAACCTTGCCTCTTTAAGAGACTAATGTAACGCCCAGTGCTCTCTCCCCCTCCCACCGGCTGGGATCGGAACCCTCCTGCGCCGCCCTGGCCTCCCCCGCCCCGGACCCCTCCCCACCCCTCCCACCTCCACCCATCCCCGCCTCCCGCCGCAATCTTGGCGGGAAGACGCCAGCTGCTAAGCGGAGGGAGGATGTCTGGGTCGCGCGCAGAGGCCGAGGAGAAGGTGGGCTCCAGACAGCGACTCCAGGTGAATGGGAGAAAAGGCTTGTCCCCTTCGGGTGTGTTCCTGCCTCAGTCTTCGTGAGGGGTGTGCTGGGCATAGGCCGAGGAGGATGGGAGGACTTGCCACCCGGCACCTCCTGACTCTAAAACTTTCCTGCTCCCTGGGGCATCTCTCAGTTTAACGGGTTTTTGGGGGTGTTGCTTTAAAAGATAAGCGGGGATGCCTGTCCTGGTTTTCCTCTGGAAAGTAGACCTTCAGCATTGAGGAAGATGTTTATCAATAACCCCCAAAATAGTGTCTGGCTGGGATCCGGAAGCCTGCATTTGCTTTTGCAGTCGTTATGGTCAGTTTCCCACTCTTGAAACAATTCCAGTTACTCAGTCTCCTCAGTTACAAATTGTCGTCATTTTTTTTTTTTTTTTTTTTTTTGCGGTACGCGGGCCTCTCACTGTTGTGGCCTCTCCCGCTGCGGAGCACAGGCTCCGGACGCGCAGGCTCAGCGGCCATGGCGCACAGGCCCAGCCGCTCCGCGGCATGTGGGATCCTCCCGGACCGGGGCACGAACCCGTATCCCCTGCATCGGCAGGCGGACTCCCAACCACTGCGCCACCAGGGAAGCCCCTGTCGTCATTTTTATTATTGGTCTGGCCGACTCATGGGTAAGAAATGTGTCCAGTATAATAAATAATTCTATTCAGGTTAATGAATTAGGTATCTAGATTTTGGAGGGAAAAAGGTTTCCTTACAGGCTATCAGTTTGGCTTTGTGTTGTCATTATGAAATAGGAATTAGATTTATTTATGCAGATCTGTAAGAAAAGGCTTAAAACCTGGAATTTTAATACTCTCTGTTTTCCTTTATTGACCTGAATAGGTGAATGAATATAAGGAAAACCAAAACATCGCTTATGTGTCTCTGAGACCAGTACAGACTACAGTTTTAGGAAAAACAGCTAAGGTGTATCTTGTTCCCTTTTCACTCAGTAGCTACAAGCCAGATCAACTTAAGCGCTCCAAATCCCTATTAGATAAGAATTCTAACAATGAAGTGGCATGTAAGAAATGTAAGAAGGCTGAAATAAAGAAAACTTGCAGAAGGATTTTAACCCCAAAGATGGAAGCCACATCTTCCAAGGCAGAATCCACTCTGCAAAAATCATCCTTAGATGTTCATGCTGAAAGTAACAAGTGGCAATACAAGAGCACTTCAGATACAGTGATTCTCAGTGCTGATACAGAAAGCAGCCAGGATGGAGACAGTGATGAAGGTACCACACCAGGCATGGTAAGAATTTAATTACTAGCTTATTCAAATTTTTCGTATTTAAAAATATGTTTTTAAGTTCTGATAAGCTAAGGTTATCAAGGGTCTCATTAGCTCAAACAGATTATTTTGTCATCTAATTTATGTTTAACTGAAATTTTATTCTTTAAATGTATAACATAACTTCCTTGGGTTAATTTTACTCTTGGTTTCGATTTGTGAAAGAGGGGATTGACTTAATCTTCACTCTGCTTCCCTTTTTCTTCCTCTCAGCTTATTGCATTTATTTTTGAGCTTACTTCTACTTTATGGTGTCATGCTCACCTTTACATATTTATGCACAGTGTACCAGAAGAAGCTGAGTTGTGGGACATATAGCATTTGAATGACTCCATGTCAGGGTAGGAAAATCACCATTAATTGATTGCATTCATGTGCTGAATATTTCCTTTAATTATGTAAAGGAGACAAGTGATGGAGTAGAGAAGATACGTGAGAAACACTAATTCTATTTAAAATAATAGTTCCATCAGTTTAAGGAATTAAGCATCTAATTCTTTTGGCTTCTATTGCCTGCCGGGAGTGTTGTACTTCATTTAAAGTGACAAATTTTATGCAAGACAAGGTAAAACCCTACCACATGATGGAAAGTTGATGGAACTAGCACAGAAAATGATGGTAGGGAAAGGGAGATGGGATAATTGAGGCGGTGTTGTAATGGACTAGGACCTGTGGTGGGACAGGGTGGGCTAAGTCATAAATGCGTTGGACTGGGGGTTGGAAGCCTGGGTTTTAGTCATGGCCGCTTCTAAGAAACCTTGTACCTTTAAGCAGATCACTTCTACTGTGAGGAAATTGGATAAGATTGGTGGTTCTCAAACTTTAGCCTATATCAGAATTACCTGGGAGGCTTGTTAAAACTCCTGTGCAGGGCTCCACCACCAGTTTCTGATTCAGAAGTTTTGAAGTGGGTATAGAATTTGCATGTCTAAAATGGCTTCCTAGAGACAACGGTCCAGGACTGCACTTTGAGAACCAGTGGATTTGATTATCTCTTTGGCCTCTTAAACTGTAAGATTCTGAGTATATGAGGCTAATATAAAACAGATTTTATTTTGATGTAAGGTAAACAGGGTCAGAAATTAGAGCATGAGGTAGGACTGGAGATAGTCAGAGTCATAAATGCTCAGCATATATTTTCTTAGGACAAGCTGAAAGAGCTCACATCTTTTTTTTTAAAAAAATAAATTTATTTATTATTTATTTTTGGCAGCATTGGGTCTTCGCTGATGCGCGCGGCCCCTCTGCAGCTGTGGTGCGCAGGGGCCCCTCCTCGTTGTGGTACGCTGGCCTCTCATTGCGGTGGTTTCTCCCGTTGCGGAGCACGGGCTCTAGGTGCTCGGGCTTCAGTAGTTGTGCCTCGCCGGCTCCAGAGCACAGGCCCAGCAGCCGTGATGCACGAGCCCAGCTGCTCTGCGGCCTGTGGGATATTCCCGGACCAGGGCTCGAACCCATGTCCCCTGCATTGGCAGTTGGATTCTTAACCACTGCACCACAAGGGAAGCCCGAGCTCACATCTTTTATAGAACATTTCATTCTTTTGTTCTCTTCCCTTTCGATAATTATCTTTTTGGGGTAAAATGGTTAAGGCTTTGTGGTACCATGCTTTAGGAAAAGTATTTAGTTTATAAGCTTATTTGTGCTCAGGTGAAGGGTGGCTTCTGTCACATCAAAGACAAGTGCCTGTAAGTCTAGAATTTTATTCTCCTTTTCTGCGAAGTTTGCTAAATTTCATCTCTCAGTCCTTCTATTAAATATTTTAATGTCATGAAGCATTTCTGAACAGTTTTAAAAAAATTTTACACTTACAGAAGAGCTGCAAAAATAGTAAAGACAATTCTCCTATATCTTTCACCCGTCTTCGGTTTTTGTTAATATCATACATAGCATAAAATGTTTATCGAACTAAGAAATTAACCTTGGTACAGTGCTGTTAACTAACGTACAGAATTTATTAGGATTTCACCAGTTTTCCAACTAATATCCTTTTCCTCTTCCAGTATCCAGTCCAGGATCATACAGTGGATTTAGTTGTCATGTCTCTGTAGATCTGGAAACAGTTTCTCAATCTTTCATGACCTTGACACTTTTGAATAGTGCTGGGCAGTTATTTTGTATAATTTCCCTCAATTTGGGTTTATCTGCTGTTTTCTCATGATTAGAGTAAGATTTTGCATTTTGGGGAAGCATACCACAGAAATGAAAGTGCCCTCCTCAGTGCATCATATCAGGGTGTACGTGATGTTGGTATTTTACTGGTGATGTTGACCTTGATCATTTAGCTAAGGTGGTGTCTGCCAGGATTCTCTAATGTAAACTTACTATTTTTCCCTTTGTAATTACTAAATACTTTGAGGAAGATACTTTAAGACTATGTGAATATCTGGTTTCTGTCATCAAGCATATATTTATTTTTTTATTAAGATAGAATTCACATAACATAAAATTTACTAAATTGTGTAATTCAGTGTTTTTTAGTATACATACATAAGGCTGTGCAGCCATCATGACTATCCAATTTCAGAAATTTTCATCACTCCAAAAAGAAACCACATACCTGTTAGCAGTGACTACAAACCCTATTCCTCCCTCCCTCAGCCCTGGAAACCACTAATCTACTTTCTGTCTATAGATTTGCCTGTTCTGGACATTTCATATAAATGGAATTATACAATATATGGCTTTTTTGGTCTGGCTTCACTTACCATGTTTTCATCATTCATTCATGTAGCATGTATTGGTACTTATTCCTTTTTATGGCTGAATAATATTTCATTGTATGGATATACCACATTTTGTTTATGCATTCATCAGTTGATGGACATTTGGGTTGCTTTCACTTTTTTGCTCTTAAGAATAATGCTGCCATGAGCATTTACTTGTGAGATTTTGTGTGATGTTTTCCATTCTCTTGGTATATACCTTGGAGTGAAATTGCTGGGTCAGATGGTAACTGTGTTTAACTTTTTTTGGAATTGTCAAATTGTTTGCCAAAGTGACTGCACCATTTTTACATAACCACTATGAAAAATCCAATTTCTCTATACCCTCAACAATACTTATTATTGTTTGTCTTTTTTAAAAATTAAAATTTTTAATTGAGGTAAAATACACAATGTATAATTTACCATCTTTACCATTTTTAAGTGTACAGTTCAGTAGTGTTATGTACATTTACATAGATGTAAAACGAATGTCCAGAACTCTTCATCTTGCAAAACTGAAGCTCTATACCCATTAAATAACTCCCCATTCCCTTACCTCCTTTCAGCCTGTGAAAACTACCATTCTACTTTCTGTCTCTGAATTTGATTGTTATAAGTACCTCATATAAGTGGAATCGTATAGTATTTGTCTTTTTGTGACTTATTTCACTTAACCTAATGTCCTTAATTGTTTGTTTGTTTTTTTGCGGTACGCAGGCCTCTCACTGTTGTGGCCTCTCCCGTTGCGGAGCACAGGCTCCGGACGCGCAGGCTCAGCAGCCATGGCTCACGGGCCCAGCGGCTCCGCGGCACGTGGGATCTTCCCAGACTGGGGCACGCACCCGCGTCCCCTGCATCGGCAGGCAGACTCTCAATCACTGTGCCACCAGGGAAGCCGTCTTTAATTGTTTTGATTATAGCCATACTAGTGGATGCGAAGTGGTATCTCATTGTGGTTTTTAAAATTAATTAATTTTTGGCTGTGTTGGGTCTTCGTTGCTGCACACGGGCTTTCTCTAGTTGCAGCGAGCGGGGGCTACTCTTCCTTGGGGTGCGTGGGCTTCTCACTGCAGTGGCTTCTCTTGTTGTGGATCACGGGCTCTAGGCACGGGGGCTTCAGTAGTTGTGGCACATGGGCTCTAGAGCGCAGGCTCAGTAGTTGTGGTGCATGGGCTTAGTTGCTCTGTGGCATGTGGAATCTTATTGGACCAGGGCTCGAACCCATGTCCCCTGCACTGGCAGGCGGATCTTAACCACTGCGCCACCAGGGAAGTCTCCCCTCATTGTGTTTTTTTTTTTTTTTTTTCGGTACGTGGGCCTCTCACTGTTGTGGCCTCTCCCGTTGCGGAGCACAGGCTCTGGATGGGCAGGCTCAGTGGCCATGGCTCACGGGCCCAGCCGTTCCGCGGCATGTGGGATCGTCCCGGACTGGGACACGAACCCGTGTCCCCTGCATCGGCAGGCAAACTCTCAACCACTGTGCCACCAGGGAAGCCCTATTTTTAGTTTTTTAAGGAACCTCCATACTCTTCTCCATAGTGGCTGTACCAATTTACATTCCCACCAACAGTGCAAGAGGGTTCCCTTTTCTCCACAACCTCTCTAGCATTTATTGTTTGTAGATTTTTTGATGATGGCCATTCTGACTGGTGTGAGGTGATACCTCATTGTAGTTTTGATTTGCATTTCTCTAATGATTACTGATGTTGAGCATTCTTTCATGTGTTTGTTGGCAATCTGTGTATCTTCTTTGGAGAAATGTCTATTTAGGTCTTCAGCCCATTTTTGGATTGGGTTGTTTTTTGATATTGAGGTGCATGAGCTGCTTGTATATTTTGGAGATTAATCCTTTGTCAGTTGCTTCATTTGCAAATACTTTCTCCCATTCTGAGGGTTGTCCTTTCGTCTTGTTTATGGTTTCCTTTGCAGTGCAAAAGCTTTTAAGTTTCATTAGGTCCCATTTGTTTATTTTTATTTCCATTTCTCTAGGAGGTGGGTCAAAAAGGATCTCGCTGTAATTTATGTCATAGAGTGTTCTGCCTTTGTTTTCCTCTAAGAGTTTTATAGTGTCTGGCCTTACATTTAGGTCTTTAATCCATTTTGAGTTTATTTTTGTGTATGGTATTAGGGAGTGTTCTAATTTCATTCTTTTACATATAGCTGTCCAGTTTTCCCAGCACCGCTTACTGAAGAGGCTGTCTTTTCTCCATTGTATATTCTTGCCTCCTTTATCAAAAATAAGGTGACCATATGTGC